AAGTCTATTTGACTACTGGGGCTTTTGGAGAGGTGTTGGGAGAGCAGAAGGGGAAATTTTCAACATCTGTGTGACTCTGTAAATAACAACAGCTGCCGAGTGATCTAGAGATGACAGCTATGAAGTGCTGTTCCTTGGCTCCCCAGCCTCTTCAAGCAGAAGATGTCCTGAAGGCCAAAGGCAACTCCTGTCCTGTGTATTTGGGTGACTGTGTCACTATACAGCCTCTCTCAACTGCAACGCTCTCTCTCTGTAAAGGTCTCTCTCAACCACCCCTATAGCATTTTGCAGCCACCCAGAGCACTGCAGTCTCCTACCAGTGAGCCAGGCATTTCTACATCACATGAAATGTGGTAGAAACATCTTTATAAGGTACAACAGTAAATGAATTAATTCTCTTGTTTATTCTCTTGACATAGATTTTAACAAGACAAAATGGCACAATGCTAAATTAATTTAGTTTAATGATTTTGATTATAACAAATGGGTGAAATGGTACAAGCACAGTCCTTTATAATTAGACAGCAATCTTGTGCTTTTCTCCAAATGCTGCAGCCTGTCTCTGAGATGCAGAATAATTTCTTCTTCCAGAAGCCTAAAATTATTTTTTAAGACACAAATCAAAATAATTCTCTCTTTCAGCCTTTCTGTGTCTAATGTTTTTCAATTCTAGGCAGCATTAATATAATGTTATTTATAATGCTTCTTAGCTGCAACCAGCCCCATAAAAGCACTTTGGATATTGCTCAAAACATGTTAAAACATAAAACATTATTAAAAGTGCCCTTCAGAGAACTGCAGTAGATGCTTAACTGTTGGGGATCAGTATTGATTTCACTAAAAACCATGAAGCTGACTTATATCAAATCAGTGAGAGTTTTAAGCACCCAAAATGAAAACCTGAAATGGCAACAAAATGTCAACATTATGGAATTAAGAGAAGTGATTACTGTAAGCATGAACAGAAAAAGAAGGGTTTCCAGAGGGCTTCAGGTATATTGAATGCTATTCAAGAGGGTTTGCCAAAGGATGGTTCGCTCCTGTCAGTGCATTTGTAAAGATGAGAAAATTTTAAATACAACTGGCTTTTTGGTGGTGGTGTTTGCTTTGTTATGTTTTGTTTTGGTGTTTTGTTCAATGTTTAATTTCTTTCTGGTTCTGTTCTTAAAAGCACAAATTTAAATTCATGTCTTTCAGTTTGTCCCTATTTCTTCATTCTTCACACCCTCCAGGAAAGCAAAATTCAAAGATAGAAACATGAAAAAGCATGAACAGGATAATATAAAAATAAAGTATTTAAAAAGACCCCTTACAAAACCACTGTCTTTCACTGTGCTTGCACTAAGGGCATGAAGACAAAAAAAAAAAAAAAAAAAAAAAAAAGAGTTTTGATTTTAGATGAAAAACTTGAATAGTTAGGAAAAAAATTTAAAAAATTGAAAAACATTCTCTTTTTGGCATTTTTAATCATTTTTGTGAAGTCCACTTTCATTGATTTTTTTTTTCTTCAAACGGCATAAGAAAGAAATTTTATTATTATTATTGTTATTATTATTATCTTCTCTTCTTTGTGCTGTGGTGGTAAGGCCAGACACAGCCAGATAATCAGAGCCCTATTCAGCCAGGCACCACAAGCATTGTGGCAAAGTTGTTTTAATTTGTAAATCTGACAGTAAAATAAGGGGTTCTTTTTGCAGATTGGACAGAAAGGACATAAGAAGGGCAAAACACTAGTCTGTGGAGAGACTCCCAGCAGACAATTCAAGGTCAACCCCTTCACTGGCAAATTTAATCATTCGACATCAATCCAATTTAGGTTCTGTGGAGTATTAGGAGGGAACAGTCACTTTTGTTACATGGAGACAAAGAATTTCCTTCAAATTAAGCTTACTTAAAAACAAGAAGTAAATGATTTTTTTTTTTCAACCCTGTCTGTTTCTAAAAATCCTTTCACATCAAGGAGCACCAGCTTATTCAAAAAGGGAGATTGTACTTTTAAATGATACTGTGACTCTTGCAGATAGGTGATGGTTCTGCCACCATTCTGCCCTAATAGATTTCTCCTCACTAAGTTTGCCACCCATATTTCAAAAGTTTTTGGGAATCTAATGGTCACAAGAGATCCGTGACTATGAAGAGCTTGTAGGTCTTGGCTAAGTCTGTCTGTCCAACAGACCATCTACTTTGACATTTTCTGGGCAATTTCTCTACTGGCTTGAATTGACTTCTTCTGCTAATCATTCTTCAGCTAATGAGGGAGTGAGGTTGTTGCTTGAGTCTTTTCCCCTTGTAAGGTTTCCATAGGAATCAAATCTGCTGCTGTGCAGAGAGCCAGCATAATGTATTACTTACTTACTTACTTTGTATTCTTCACTTCTATCCCTCTGCTGCACCTCTCTGAGGATTAGCATGTAATTCTGTTGGTGCACTGGCTTTCTGCTGATCTCTTCCTTAGGGGCCTTCCTGAATAAAACTCAGAAATACAAGCAGGAATGGTCTCATTTCAAGGATCAGTGACAATTCTAAAAAGACCAGAAAAAATTCTTCTGGGCTGCTTGACTGTGCTAGAGAGTATCTGAACCAGCCACTCACTTCAGGCTACAACTTTTTGCTGAATAATTTTACATGCAAGTTATTTTAAATGTGACCTCCAGTCTCCCAAAGCACCCCAGGCTCTTCTGCCTTTATATTATAAACATCCTACTTCTTGAAGACAACACAGTTATGCATTTTTTTGAAATAGGATGAAAAAAATTCCAAGCCAAACAAACTGCTAAGGTAGCTACTCTGTCACCGGAGGAAACCTTGCACAAAATAGGTAACCTGATCATTTTGGATGTGAGGTGGTTGTTTGTATGTGGGGTCTAAGGACTGAAATTTGGCAGTGGCAGCTGCCAAATTGGAAGCTTCTCTTAGTGAATGTACCTTTAACATGCAGTGTGTATTTCTGAATATAGAAGACATTAACATGCTTCTAGCCTCAAGAAAACAGCATAGGGGGAACTTGGGTATTCACTGCAAATTATTTCCTGACACTACAAAGATCTGGGATTTTTTTGGCACCAAAGCACGGGTGTGCTACCCTGTGATTTGCCTTTTCCCCTCCGCAATTCGCAGTGACAGACTTTTAAACAGAATTACATCCCCCTAAGCAGTCTCCTGTGCTCTGGAGATGGGCAGGACAGCACAAACAATAAGGAAACATGACTGGAATACAGACGGCTGTCCTTGCTGTTTGGCATCCACACAGATAGGTGTTCTTTTTTTTTTCTTTTTTCTTTTTTTCTTTTTTTTTTTTTTTTTCAGCAATGAAAGAACACTGTGTGCTCTCAGTGTGCTTTTTTCTGAGACAAAATCTGTATGTTTGTGAGAATGCATAAAAGGGGAAACAGGTTTAGAAAAGAAACCCTGAATAGACCACTGTTTCTCAAAGGCTGAAGTTTGCTATTCTCGTGAGAATGGACCTTTAAGGCAGCTCAGCTCTTTCACAAGCCCATTGTTGCTATGCAAGAATGCTCCCATTGTGGGCAAGTATTTTATCCAGTCTCATCCCTTATGTCTGTGCTATGAATTCATAAGTGAGAAGCGATATAGCAATATGCTCTTTTTAAAGAGCTTCAGAATAGAAAGTCCTACTGTCACACATGACTGCAATAGCATAAAAGCATCAAACTCTTTTTGAGCATCAAACCTGCTGGAGGGTGAGAAGGATCAGTTGTCTTTTAGGTGCAAAAAGGTTAACATATAGCCTGGAACATGCCATAGATACCTTTCTACAAAATCAGTCTGTCTATAGGGAAGATAACTGTGTTGTTTTATGTCCTTTATGTACATAAACAACTTTTATAGCTAGAAGAAGGAAGAAACAGATAAGCTTTCCAGAAGCCCATGTATGGCACGCATAGACATCCATTATTAAAGAACTGTTGAATGTTTTTTTTCATTGGGAAGTACGTCCGTGGCCAGAACATACACAAAAAGAAATAAATAATCCCACTATCAGATTATGCTCCATCTCCTTCCATGGCAAGACTTGCCATTTATAAATTGATAAAATATGTTATATTCAAGCCTTGAATCTTCTCCTTCCTTGCTTCTTGATCTAGGATGTTACAGTCTTTCCATGATGCCAGCCAGCTATCTGAATGAGCAATGAGGAGTACAACATAGAGAATTCATAATTAACCTCTGTGGCTCTATTGCCAACAAACCTTTAATCATCAAAGATTCTAAGATTCTTTCTGAAGAAATTTGAATTTTACCGGTGGTGTACAGGAAGGAAGGATCTGCTTGTACTCATAACATTGATAAGACTGCATGTTATTATTTTCCTTTTTCTCACAACTTTCCAATGCTGCAGCATATGATTCAAATGTAAACTTGGTTATGGTTAGACACACTATAGATTGTACTGCAGTAGCGTGGAAAGGTCACTCATGAAATAAGGAAAGGAACAGGACTAGTGCAATTGACACTGGAGCACCTTCCATGAGGAGAGGATTAACAGAAACCTCTTAGGTGGGTCTCTGTTTTTGGATGGAGAACAGGAAGTCATGCTCCCAGGCTCAGGTCCGACCAAAAACCTTGGTCCTTCATGGTCATTTTGAGGCCTCTGGTCCTCCAGAGTAAAATCCAGAACTGAGTAAATTTTTGTCATGAGCAAAAGTAGGTATTTTCCAAAGGGATCTGAAGACCAGTTTGCATGAGTCAGAAGCTAAAATGTGCATGAATTAAATATTCAGCCTCACTTCTCAGGTACCTTATTCAGCTGTGTTTTTTTTTTTTTGTTTGTTTGTTTTAATTTAGAGGCCTTAGAGCCTTGACAATAGATTATTTTACCTAGACTAAAGATTAGGCAGGACAAATCTCCTGTAAAAGATCTCCACAGACAGACATCACACAAATTTCAAAATGCCTGGGCTAAGTTTTGACTGTTTCCCCTCTTTGCTCTAGACTTAAAGACTAATTGAAGATAAGTTACAAAAAGGGTTGTGGCAAGCTAGAATCTAGGATTTATCTTCTTAAATGAGTGGTCCCCAAGCCATGCTCTCCCTGACACACACAACTTCAATTTCAGTTTGGTGTCTTCAGCTGCTCCACTCTGCTCCTCTCCAACAAAGCTTCCCAGTCAAGGTACTCTGTAGGAACATGTGGGTTTCGTAGTCTCAGAGGGCACTTCAAACCAGAAGGGAGGTCATCTGGTCCAGCCCTCTTTTCAAAGCAGGGTGAATCTTCAGATTAAGATGAGGTTCATTGGGCTTCATGTAGCCCAGGTTAAAGTAGCTCCAAACCCCTCTGGGAAGCCCAGTCCCTCTCAGACAGAGGTATTCTTCTTGTTCCTGAGGTAGACATCCCTCATTCTGCCAAGATGCACTGGATCTGATCTGAGATTGCCTCCTCAGCATATCTGGGTGCAGGAACATAGAGTGAGATTCATCCTGCCTGAAACCTAGACACTTGATCTCGACCTCAGATGCCTTCCATCTGTGATAAAGAAATAGGTGCTCTTAAAAGTGAATTGTCTGCCACTTCTCTTCCCTGATTGTAGAGGCAGCAGCCATCAGAGATCCTATTTAACTGCTAGAGGAAAGATCCCATCCCACATTCAGAGGTTTTAGTCTAGGTCAAATGAGAGGAAGACACCAAACACTTTAGCCTGCTTGAGGGCAGAATGTGGACAGAGACATAATTCAGTAAGGCTCCTGAGGAATTTCTAAGCTATTAATTTCAGTGGAGTGAAGTGGAAGCAAATTAGAGAAGGGGATCTCAGGATCACAATTTTAAACTAAAACTGAAATTTGAAAAAAAAAAAAAAAAAAAAAAAAAAAAGACAACTGCCCCAGTGTTGATCTGTGGTTTGGTTTACCATGTTCAATTAAATGACTCTTAGTCACCAAAGCTTTATTTTTCTCTCCACGTCTCAGAGGCACAGATCTAGAGAGAATATGTTCACATCAATTTTCTCTTTCAAAGATTAGGCTGAAAAGATCATGGTAGTCATTTGCAAATGCATCAAGCAAACAGAATATATTGGGAATTTACTTCCAAGACATACAGGAAGTCAGGAATAAGCAGAACCTTCCAGACGGTGATGTTTAAAATACCATTTTAAAATGGTATTAAAAAACATTAAAAAAAAAAAAAGAAAAAAGTTTAAACCAGAAGGTTTCCACTTGTTTACTCCGTTTTTTTCAAGCTGCTTCTCTGGGATTATGTTCTTTTTTCTTCAGCAGCTGACTTTTCCATGGTCAGTCTTCTCCCTGAAGACTTCCTTTCTCCTGCACATCTTGTATCATTCATATTTCATTATCTCATTCTCTGTTCAAAATTGCTCTGTCCTATCTCCTGTTATGTTCCTTAGCGGGCTTATTTCACTTATGCTTCTGTTTTCTGTTCTGCCTTTTCCCACTTTCCTATTGTAATCTTGCCCTTGGTGAGCTTCTGTCTCCCCAACTACTGCACCTAAGCACAGCCAGACAAGACCTCCCTCTGGGAAACTTCAGACACCTCTTGCTCTCCACCGACTCTTTGTTGAATGACGGAGCTACTGAACTTTAGAGGACAGTTTCACTAGGACACTAAAATTTAGAAGCAAGCTGGAAAAGAAATACTAGTCACACTTACACTTTTTTTTTTTTTTGTAGTTCACTGTATACTTTTTCAGTTATATCCCCTGGCTTTCTCCAGATCTTTTTTTTTTTTTCTCCCTTTTCTCCTCCTCCTCCTTCTAACTGTTCCTGCCTCCCTTTTAAGGCTGTGACTGCACAGGTAGCAAAGTCCCTCTCAAATTCAAATGGGTTTTAATGCCTCACATCCACAGGTAATACCTTCTCTCTTATGAAGCATTTCTGTTTCATTGCTTCATCTCTCACCATACAGAACACTGTGATTCTGCGGGAGGGCAGAGTCTTGCCTATTCCTGCATCTGAAAGACAACCTGGATTCAGTAGAGCATCTACTATTCTTCCTGGGTTCACATAAAAGTCAGGTGCAGAAATAAAATCCTTACATAAACCACCTGCCCATCAGTTTTTCCCTCTCCCAAATGTTATCTATTTTGTCCAGCCATTAGAGTGACCCAAACTCCCACATCTACATCCCACATCCACTCCCAAGGACATTCTTGAGCTGCCAGTTTCTACCTTAATGTCTACAGATACACTTCCTCCTCCCACATCCACTGACAGCAAAAGTTAAAATGGAAAAGGCTGTCTCCAAGGAAAACGTCCTCTTATATGAACTCATATGACCTGCTCTGACAAACAGCAGCTCATCACTCACTGTACTAAATGCTGTGTACAAACCTGCTGAAGGTGAGAAGGATCACCAGGAGCTCCCCAACAGCCCTGGTTTCCCAGAGTGCCTGCAGGAAGAACAATATGCTCATTGCTATTTGCACTGCATCAGTAATTTCTGATAACACAATGTTAAGACAACACAACGTTAAGAAAATAATCCACCATGTATCAGGAAGCATGTGTGGGGGGAAGAAGTATTTTTTTAATACAAAATTAGCCAAAATAAATAAATAAATAAATAAATCCTTAGAGCCACTTGGCTGAAGTCAGTAGGAAAGCTGACAGTTTATTTACTGTGGGAAGTTTTCCCAGCTCTTGGAAGAGAGACGATAAGGCTTGTGAAGCATCACGTATAGCAGCTGGGGAGATACTAGCCCCCAGAGAATCACCTGCAATGTGGTCAGGCCAAACATGCAAAAATCTGTGCTGTGTAGACATGAATTTAAAGCACTAAAAACCAGAAAGTGAACTCAAGAACTGCTAAACTTAATCATTTTTACCAGACTGTATTCCACCTTTAAATAAATAAATAAAATCTGTCTGTGCTGCTGGGGACATTACAAAGAAGGTTAATCAGACACTTCACTTACCCATTACTCTGTATAGGATGTGTACAGGCATGAGAAAATGAGAAATTACTACTGACAGAGAAGGACTGGGCTATCTATTCAAGAGCAGATTTTTCCAAGTTCCTTAGGAAAAAGAAAGATCCCTGAACAGGCTGTAAGGGTTTCCTCATTATACTTGGACTCTAGACTGCAGCACAAGCCTATACTGTGGTTTAAAGCTAGAGTGTTTTAATTGTTTCCTGAACTACACTTATTATAGGAGCCTTGATTCATTTCACCTTTCCTTTATAATTCCAGTTAGTACACAAAGGTTTTGCTAGTGTCAGGCTTGCCTAGGGCTGTCATTCCCAAAAAACTCTTGAACAGCCTTTGTAGCTAACTGGCATTCACCAGAAGGCAAAGCACACTCTCTAGAAAAGCAAGATGTTAAACACATCAAAGGAATTTATGCCTGCAACAATCCATTCAGGTCATCACACAGGTCCACTACTGCATATATATATATGTCCCTGTCTAATTGGGCTCCTGTTTTAAAAATAAATCAATTTCTTTAATCTCCTTAATCCCATTACAACTATTTCTGAGCCCAATCCTATGTGGTAAAAGCACGTTTCTTGATGTTCAGCCTAATTCATTCATCATGGAGTTACTCCTCTTTGTGACACTAACACAGTCTTTTAGCTTAAATGGTTCTCTTTTTCTCAAAATGTTTGTAGATAAAAGCTAACTTCTCCCTAGTTAGCCAGAGAGAAAGAGAGAAAACAGAAGAGAGAAAGAGAGGAAATAAAACCAGACTGTTTTAAAGAAGGAACACTGTACCCTCTCCACATGGGATGTTCTTAGTACCTGGGTCTCACCTAACACAGATGTTGTTTGTAACTGCATCTGTCTCGTGTTCTCTTGGAGGAGAGAGCAAAGGAGAAAGGCACACAAGAGCACAGTGGCTGTCGTCTGCAACACCTTGGTTTTTGTATTACACTCACATTTCTGCTTGATGTTTTTCAGTCACTTTTCAGGAGTTTGGTTTACTCCTGCTGTTTTTTTCAATGCTCTAAGGAGGAGCTCTGATGCTCAGGACAGGCACATGCTCTCCAGCCCTCTACCAGCAGCTGCCCTGCTGTGCTGCTTTCCCAGTGGGTGAGCAAAATATCTCAGAGCAGGCAATTCCAGCTCTGTGTTCTCCAGAGGGGTATTCCTCACTCTTCTCTCTAATGAATATGAATCATCAAGGTCCAGATTTGAAAACAAAACCCTAAAGTAGGACAGGGATGAACACTGTAATATCAAAACATTAAAAACAAACAAATAAACAACATTCTTTCTCAGCACTCAACTGATCCTAGGAGTGTTTAAACACAGTGGAAGTCTCCCTTTCTCATCTGTAGTTCCTTCAGGTGCACAGAAATTTGTTGTTATGTGTGACCAGGACCTTCTGCATTTTGGCAGTTGATGCTTTGCTCCTCTACCAACTCTCCTCTGCCAGAAACAGGAGACCCAAGCTTAAATGTTCTCAAGATCTGAACCACTTTTTGAGTTCTCATAACACCCACTGGTAGGGCTGGGACCCCACAAAAGACATCAGTCTTTTGCAAAATACCAAGTTCAGTTCCTCTTCAATGCTAGGGCAGTGAGTGCAGTGCCCCTTTTGCCTGCCCCCAGTTCACCTCTCTGCCAAGCAGCGAGGGACAAGCTGCTACAGGAAGGCAGCCTCCTCCCTCCCAGCCAGCAATGAAGCTCTGCCAGGCTGTAGAGAGAAACAGATCCTGCCAAAATCAAACCAGAAATCCCATGCCTCCGCAGCCTCATGGAGGCACACACACCTATGGAAGAGAGGAGCCAGCCCTGCTGCCCTCCCTGGTCCCAGGCACCATTTCAGCACATGTTGCAATTTAGGCACGTGCTTGCTTCCATTGCTACCAAGAGCATTTGCACACTGCGTTACTCACCTCCTTTGTTTTAGACCATCTACAGAGGAGCTTTTTTACTTCTGTTTCATCTCAAGCAGCATCCAGGCATTAAAACCCTATGAAAACACATCCCACCCCTCAGTTTCTTCTGTGCAATTATCTCTGTCCCCTGGGATCTGAAGCCCTTGCCTACTGTGGCCAACATCCTCTCTCAGGTCCAGAGCTGACAATCAGCTTTTCTCTCCAGCTACCTAATGGATTACCATAATGAAGTTAAGCTGAGAGCAATTACTCTCAGGATCACTATTTTTTTTTTTTTTGGTTGGTTGGTTGGTTGTTTTTTTTTTTTTTTTTTTTTTTGTTTGTTTTTTTTTTTTTTTTTTTTTTTTTAAAGACTTGTGTAAGGGCTTATGAGCTGCAAGGCTGCTGATTTTTCCCCACAGCTATACCAGCTGGTCTAGCAAGTGATGAAGATCTTGTCTCTCTCGTGTTCGGAAACCACTGACAGCTACAATACAGGCTCATCTAAAGTACACAAGTAATCGTCAACTGTGTTTCGTAACTTTGTATGAATTTTGGAGAAGGCATTTTGGAAAATATGGCAACAGGAAGTTATTGTTTTGACTAGAAACCCAGAGTTGAAAGGCAGGCCAGCTGCAGGTAATCAGGATGGAAAGCTACTGCTGTGCCATTTTAGAATTGGCAATTTGCAATCGGGAGATACATTTTTCTATCCTGCCAGCTGGAGGCTCTTGGCAAAGTGGCTATGTGTTTTGAAACTAAACAAATTCATCTTTCTTATTTTTCCCCAGAGTTTCAGATTTTACCCCAAGAGGTTTGATCTAAAGCTTTTTACCACATCTGACTAACAAAAGACTTATTAAAAATGAAAACATAGGGAAAAGTAGGAAGAAATACAGTGTTCATCTGTATTCGGCAAATCAATTGCTTTCTGAACATATGAAATCCAAGTGGTTCAGAATGTATTTATTTTCCATTCATGAAAAGAAACAATTTTACACAGGCACAGAGATACCACTCCATTTTACATTGCTGTATAGAAGTGCAGAGCTTTGATATGTCTTGAAACACTGTATATAATCAAGTACTAATAATAGTTATCTTATTTATAACACTCTGAGAAGCAGATCATTCTCCCTGGTCTTCTCCCAAAACAACATGCCTCTTATCTTTAGAGAGGTTTATTACATGGTTTGAACTTATATGACGAATCATTAAGCAACACAGGGTTATTTTTTGTTTTCTATTTTAAAATATATTTTAATGTCCCTATTATTTTCCTCTGTAGATTATGCAAACACTATGTTTTTCTGATTAAAATGTATTGAACTAAAACACTTAAAAAATAAGTCTCCCTTAGCATTAGTGCTCACGACAAATGTTTTCATACATGAGATCGTTTGTCTTGGTCTTTATTATAGATTAATATTAGATTTTAACTTGTGCTGTGTATTTTATCTACCTGCATATGATTTCACAAGCCTTTTGTCACCTGCCCGACATCTGCAACCTGACACACTTTAGCCCTGAATGAGTGAAGCACATGCTGAAATTTGAGCACATGCTTAAAAGCAGTTTGCTTATTAGAACATGCTCAAGCACATGCTTTCATATTAATGTGGTTTGCTGAACTGACATGATGAACAGTCTCTAACAGCAGCGTTCCAAAACATCTGCTCTCAGGAGAATTAGGTCATGTAGATTTACAGAACTTGAGGGAAAGGAAAAAATTACAAATTTAGTCTAACCTATTACCCAGACCAGGTATTTGCTTTAGAAGAATGCAGGATAGGCGGATATTTGCAGAATCAAACCTTCATAAAACTCTTTTGCAGATACGCAAGTTTCAAGGTTGTTGTTCAGATGACCATGGTGATACCTCTTGACCTCGGAGTCTTTGAAAAATAATCAAAATGATTTTGCATGAATTTGTCAATGAATTAAGAGGATGATATTTCAAAAAGAGCAACACCCAGAATTTGACCTTTTCAGCTGTACTGAAAACAGCAGCCACTTTGTGTTACCAGCTATTGTGTAACTGAGGTTGAACCCGCATGAAAACTAGGAGTCTTTTTTATTTTTTAGAGGGGTAAATCATACATATTAACAGCTGGGACTGAATTTTTCAAGTCCTGTGATCGTGAGGGCTGTTCTTAAAGGGCTTACTCAAAACTGAGATATGAATACATCAGGGATATGGAGAGCTTGGGCTGACGAAGATTTGGATAACTGTTCTTTTCCAATGGAAGTACATTTTCCAATGGCAGCTATGTTCCTTCTCTTGTTTTCTGCTCATGAAACCATCACAACTGAAAGTAACAAAGGGAGAAGAGAAAAGAAAATAACCATGTGTTCTGTATCTTCCTTTCTGTGTCTTCTTGGACCCCAGCAGTGTAATCTGGAAGGAAGATTTCTGTGTACCGAATTCTCTCCCACAGCTCAGGTCTTCAAGTCATCTTTTTTAAAAGAAAAATATCTTCAAAGCACAACTTCTATAGAAGAATAATTCTATTTTCAGAACAGATTGAAAGATGTGTCTTTCACTAAAGGCTTCTTCCCTGACTTGTTTAAAAAAAATATTTCATTGCAAAATGCTGCACTAACATGAAACAATGTGAAGAACACAGCTACATTGAGTTAAATCACTTCAAATCTGAATATGATTTTTTCTACATAAATTGAATTAAAAAATAGTTATTTTATTTATTAAAAAAATAAAAAATGTTAATTTTCATGTTCTAGTAAATCAGGCATTTAAAATTTCTGGTAAATATTTCTATTACCTTTTTAACATTGTCCAACATTATCTAACATATCTAATTTATTTTCAAAAACCAAACAAAAACCAAACAACAAAACATCCTGAGCTTCTGTTCTGCAGGAAATATCTGCATCTAGGATTTCTGTTCAGATGTAGGATGACAGCTGTGCTTTCACTATTTCCTGGAGAATGAGCTGGTAGTAAAATGCTTGCTGGTCTACAGGAAAAGTGATAAATGTGTTAACAGGTAGAGTGTATTAAGTAAATGTGGTATGAAATGTCGTTTACAGTCCCATAAAACAGGTGGTAATAATTCTCCTCCTAACAAGCAGAGAAGCTGTGAATTTGCAGCTTGAACTCAATGTCCAGAAATAAGACCCAGGAGGGCAAGAGGGAGTTACGGTGTCGTGATCACAGATGTCATGCAAAGTTGATGCATGGAACAAAACTTGTTTCCATTGGCTTCAGGAGAAATCTCCCACATGAACAGATTGAAAGAGAAGTTGCTTATGGGAGGTATAGAGAGGTAAAAATGAAGAATTAGATTCAGATTTAAAAAAATAAAATAAAAAAAAAATCTTTGAGAGCCTAATTTGCTCTCTAAATCACTTCTAGAACCAAGGTTTGGAGCCAAGTTGCTGAAATTTCAGCACTGTGTTGAAGTACTGTATAATTGCAGGGATCTCTTCACCTCACAGGTGCAGAGAAATGTGCATTTATACAGCTAATCCTGGCTGGGAGGAGACAGAAATGTCTTCTGGGAGATTCTGTCAGGGTGATAAATAAGAGAAGTAATGTAAAAAATGAATAAAATGACTGATTTGCTGAAATTAGTTACATTCCAGATAAGGCAGGTCATTGACTATTATCTTATGTATGGTTTTAATTGCTGAACTATGGCACATTTTCATGATCTCAGTGCTCTGATGCTTGGTCCCTGTTGCAATTCCTGACTCAACAGCTCCAAAATCCTCTCAAGTACTCTTTAGTGCAGATTTAGGGCTTTAACTGTGGAAATAAATCACAATAAAAGAAGTGTTCAGAGTTCTATTAGATCATACATCTTGAAACAAATAAAGTGGGCTGTATTTATGGGAATTTTTGGGTCTGAAAAAAAAACTTATGGAGCCTCAGAATCTGAGCTTCTCTATGACGTTTCAGGCAAGAAGGCCTTGGGGCTTAGAAGCAGAGAGAAAATAAACTGACTAGTGAGGCTGTATTACCTATGTACATGTATTTCAAAATCAGTTGTTCAGATTCTGAAAGCAGGAAGTTGAAAAATTAGATCAGACTCATTAAGAGACAAAAATATGATTACAAGATGTAAAACATGACTTCTGATGAAAGATTCAAAGAGCTTAATCAAGCTAGGTTATCAAAAAATTCCAAGAGATGATTTCTTCCTTGCCTGGCCATCTCCACTGGGATGAAAACTTAGGTTCTTCAGCCCAGCAGATGAAAGTGTAACTAGATCAAATAGCTGGAAGCTGAAAAGCTACTCCAGCTCAGATGTGAAATAAAGCTCAGATTTTTGAACTGAGGGCAATTTAGACTGGAAAAACATATCCAAGGTGATATAATTCACTGGAAACTTTTCAACAAACACTTATGACAAGAAGCGAATCAGAATTAGCAGATCTTTGTTGCACAGAAGATCGAAATACAAGATTGCTATGGTAACTTCCAGGCTAAAAAGCTAAGGAAAAAAAAAAAATCCCAGAAAGGCACCTTTCTAGTTAATAAACCATGGAAAAAAATCCCAGAAAATAAAACCTTTATACTTAGTTTGATTCCATGTGAAGCTGGCTGAGACAACAAGATCTTGACAATTTACAGACACTGGATTTTTACCTTAGACTACTTGTCTATTTTTCCTCTATAGACAGCCACCAAGGTGGCATCTCCTGCCGATTACTCATTTCACACTAAAACAGGTCAGAGGAATTGTCCCATTGAAGTACTACACTCACTGCAAGCACAGACGGAGCCTAAGTGTCTGGCTTAAACTATTTATCCTGCTTTTAGATGATTTACTTTAAGTGTGATGAATGCTACTCTCTTCTCTTCATATACTACGAGTGGAATTTTTAGATTGCACATTTTCTTAGATTAATCTCTTTGAGACAAAAAGAGAGCTTTAATATATTAATAGAAGCACAAAGGTACTTTCACTTAAGAGATAAGGTTCCAGGGGATTACCAAATTTAAATGATACAAGGTTTTTATAGCTTCTTCTGCTATTAAGTTATGTGTCTTTCTCTAGTGATTCTGGGATGTATCATTAACTTGAGCAGAGCTGGATAATACAGCTAAGGGAAAAGTTCTTTGTAAATATTTTACATTGACTTTCTTGGACATAGCCTGACTTTTCTTGTAAAGAACTGAGATTCTTTTCCATGGAAGTTTTCCCTGAGAAAATAATGCAGTATATGGTCCTTAGCTATGATGTAATTCTCAAA